TTTTTTTGTTTAGTATAGTATTATTATAGTAATTTTCCAAAACGAAAGCAATCTTAAGTTTCTTTATAAGATTACTGGTACAATGATTTTCCTAATTTTACGTGTAAATGACAAACGAGAGTGATCGATAAGTGTTCCATTGAAGCGCGAAATTCATATATTATATGTATATATATTAATATATATATATAAATAATAATAATATATATTAATATATATAATATATATATAAATATATATTATACGTATATAATGAAGAATAATATCTTTTTATTTAGCATTTAAATAGAGAATTTTAACGATGTAAATACCTTAATTTCTTTTCGATTCGCGCGAACGAATATTAAATCTCTCAATTTTGTCTAAGTGGAGACTCCAGTTTTCATATTATTCGTATTTTAAAATGTATCACGGTTTGCAATTCTCTATTCCTTAATTAAAATTAATCAATGAATAGTTGAATTTTAAAATGTATATAGCAATTGAAATTTCTACTCGAAAATTTTATATCATCGACACGATATGAGATTTCGATGAAATTCCGTCTTTCTTTTTTTTTTTTTTTTAAATTAGCAAATAATTAATGACTTGAAATAATCGAACAATTATTTTCGTGAAACTCGAGCGTGTTTCGCTGTTTTCTCTCTCTTTTTCGTTTCGAACGCCTGTACAAAGAAAATAGATGAATATAGAATGTTAAAATGTTGATTGTAATGTACACTATCCTAAACATTGATACTCCGTAAAAAAAAAATAAATAAATAAGAGATTTAAAACAAACAAAAAAAAAAAAATTAGTTTGAAGTCCGAGTATCGAGTTTTATATGCAGAGAGTCGAGTTTTGATGTGTCAGTGTTATTGTATAACGTCTTTAATAAATCACGTGAAGGAAGAACGAATTAAAAATTGTTTCTGGCCAGAGTTGCGACTTTATTCATGTAAGATATCCGTCTTTTTAGATCTCCGTTTATGTAGTAATTTTTGTACATAGAAAGAAACATTTCTTCACGTACGATCACCCAACTCTTTCTGCAGAAAATATCTGTGCCTGCATATTAATATGAAATTTTGTCGTTTGCATACACGAAGAGCACGTTTTAGCAACTTTCACCTAATTGTAAGTGTTTAGTAGTTCCTGTGCTATGGTTTATCCAAAAATTGTTCATTGTTTCCGATCACTTCCTTGAGATCTCCCACTTCTCTCACGATATTTTACATTCACTCTTTGTTGATAAGTGCAATTTATTGTTTTTTTTCTTTTTTTTATATTTGCAGCAAAATAAAATTATGTTATAAAGTTTGACAGAATATTTTATACATCTAGATATTGTACTCCCAGTTAAATTTGTTTTTATATATATATATATATTTTATGATACGATATTAAACTGTTTACAAAATATATTTGAAATGTAAAATACGGAGTGTTTTAGACTTATTTTTAATTTCCATACATTTTTCTTAGTATTTAATTTTTATAAGAGATAAAGTGATAGAATAGTATTTACGATGAGAGATCGGTGGGCTTCTCAATGGACCAACTATCTTTGTTTCTGGCTACTTTGTTTAATATTATATTTAATATACGATATAGATATAGAAATGGAAAGATAGTCCAATTAAAATACTCTATATTAATATAGTAATAAAAAATATTTATATAATATTTTTGTATTGTTGTATCATACAAAAGTCTAAACGTTATATTGCTTCTTTTTATTTATATATAATGGAACATTTCTATTCTTAATTCTTTATAATTATAATGGACAAACTATAGCATTAATTACAAATTAAATAAATTGCGACGATTACTTCATTAACATTAGAACAACCGTAATTTTTACCAAAGATCAGCAAATGTTATCAAGAATTTATAAAGTGTGGTTTTCTGAACAATCGATCATTGACATGAATCTGTAGAAAGTAAGAAGAAAGGTACTAAATATGTAAATAAATGAATATAAACTAATACTTTTAGTATTAAAACTTAATTTTTTGGTAGTCAAGCGGTGAAAATCATATGAAAGTCATTACGGTTGTTGTAGTGTTAATAAATTATTCTTCTCTTCAATGCTTCTGTGATATATTCAATCCTTAAGTGGACTTTCAATCCTGCTTTAACAATTGGAGTTTATGTCTAATTTGTAACGAATTGGTAAATAGGAATGAATTTTCCTTTACAGCATTGAAAATATAACGAGATAACAGAAGATTATATAAATCTTCAATGACGTCAATGTATAATACGATTTGAGGATTCGCAGCGAGAACGGAACAGCCTCGCTTTTTATACGTTTCAATTTCATTAAAAATGTTTACTTGACGTAGGAAACGATTAGCTCCATCTAAAAGTTTATCAATACGAATATTAATCGACCATAAATTTATTCAAAAGTGGAGCTAATCCCTTCGTTATTCTCGTCAATTAAAAAATTAATGCACGAAACCCCGATGTCCACTTAACGATTGAATGTAAAGAGTCTTCGAGTCTTTCATTCGCAATCCTCATTTTTAACGTCGTTTTCTTTTCGTTCCAGCAGTTTGCAAGGCAGGGCCGAAAAGGTGTCGCCTGTTGCGGCAGCCGCGAGTGAAGAAGGAGTCGAATCATTTGTCGCCAGACAGCGAGTCATCGTCGCCTCACATTGTCTCGTCCTCCATTTACATGACGGCGCCGACGTTGAATCTGCCGCAGACGTCGTCGAAGAGCTGGGACGAAACGAGAATCTCGCCGCCGCAGCAATCGATCCTGGTGAACCAGCCGAGCCTGTTGACGGTGACCACCTCGACGAACCTGTTGACCGTACCTCAGCCATCCTATTTGATGAAGCAACACTCCCACCCGCTCTTGTCTAGTCAGCAACAGTCCGGCAGTGGCAATTACTGGATATACAGGCAACACTCGAACCCGGAGTTCCCAAGTCGGACCTCCAGCCCGTCGATCGTCGTGGAACCGGCGCCGGTCGTCAAAACGGAGGAGGAGATGACGGACGAACCAAGTACCGCTACCACTACTACAGAGACTACCACTGGCTCCACGTCGGGATTGAGGGTGAAGACTACGGAACTCAGACGGAGTTCCTCGTCTCCGCAAGTATGGAACACTCGTTGATCAAATGTGGACGATTCTACAACCTTATGAAATTTAAAGCATGTGTAATAAATTATATTTGTTGACCCTTGATGGATTAACTTAGTGATTGGCTTGGTGAAAAGAAAGATTATAACAATTTTTTGAGAGAAATGTTTTATTTATATTGTTTCTATTTATTTATATATATATATCATCTATTTGTTTGTTTTTATTTATATTGTTTACGTTTTGTTTATATTGTTTCAGTATTTATTACACCATTGGCATTTAGCATTTATGTATTTTCTGTTATATTGTTATTTCATATTATTGGGACAACTGATTGACAAAGGAACGTGTATATATATTTATTGCAGGCGACGAGCAGGGAATCGCGGGAGAATTTAGGTGACCTGCGACTCGGTCACTGTCCAGTATTGCGTCCAGGGCCAGCTCTAAGCTGCAAACACTGCTGGAACACGATAGACGCCCACGGAAGGACGCTCCGAAGAAAGACGAAGTATCATTGTCCCGAGTGTCAGGCCAATCTGTGCATTGTCCCTTGTTTTCAAGACTACCACGAGCAACGACGGGAGTTGAAGCTGAAACCTTTACCGAAAACCAGCTCAGTCTAACGCGTTTCACGTCGATATATATATATATATATATATATATATTGGCTTTTACGAATCGCGCACGTCAATTTTAAGTACGTGTCTTTTAATCACAAGGATCATAAAGGATGAATTCTTTGACTTGTGATTCGCTTAATTAAGCTTCGTCTTTTCGTCGAGGTTCTACTATGTCACGATGTAAGTTGATGAGCTTTGTTTTGAAGCACTTTGTGGACCTTGATGATGGAGATGTCACTGTAAGGTCAGTTATTGAGGATTTAAAGGGACCTGGAGCGAGAAGTCATTCTTAGTAGATTTCTGGATTTTGTCCACTGTTTTATGCGTCGTCGTTTGCCTTCGTCAGATGATATTTTGAGGATAAAGAACAATTGAAAACGAAAGTTCCTAAGGATATTATTAGAACGACAAAGAGGAAGAGAGAGTTGTAAATTAATTAGATGAGAGGGATTTGTGATCAGAAGTTCTGATAATCATTTGTGCTATTAGGTACTAAAAAAAAAAAAGAAAAAAACCTAGAATGTTATTTAAAGTTTGTCGATTTAGTTTCAATTTGTTTTGAATGAGAAAGATAAATTTAACTTTAGTTGTAACGAAAATTGAATTTATGCTTTTTGTTATTGGTCTCTCACAATGAGCATCTTTAAAGTTTTATGTGTGATTTTGGACTGAATGTGCATTAGTAGTTTCGCTGTTAATGTAGAGAAATTTTTATTTCTAGAGATAGGCATTTGAAGGAATAATTTCCATTTTTTTTTTTAATTTTTATTAATTTTTTGATTGAAGAAACTATTTTTCCTAAACAATTGGACACACAGACAGATACAACGGAAGTTTTCATTAGGGAGAAAGAATTTTTGTGACTTGCTGCATATTAAGAACAGAGAAAAGGCAGATTCTATCCGAGTGATAGAAATAGTACTTATTCTACATGCACTTAATTAAACCCAATTAACATGAATCAAAATGAGGCTTGACCAAATCAACAGCTGAGGAACCCATCGAGTCCAATCAATTTCAACTTGAACATATTCGAATTCAACATTTTTAAGAATGGGACTAAAACTGAAGTTTAACTCGTTGAATATTAAGCCAAACAGCCTGAACTTTAATCTGGAGAGTGTCCACAAACACGAGGTCTGGAGGTCTGTCAACTTCAATCTACGTGATTTATTTAGTTCAACATTGGCCCAAATTATTTGAGATTTGTCTAATTAATTAAAGTCTAACTTTCTTATCTAGCAAATCAGAATTTATCATTTTGTGATCAAAGTATATTTTTATGAATGATTTTCTTTTCCAATGATATATCTAAAGATTTATCAATCTCAACTCAAATGATTCAAATCAAAGTTAACCGAAATTATTTAAGATTCACCCCAGTTATTTCAAGTCTAACTAGCTACAAAGTTCATGACCATTCGAAAAGAATTTAGTTATTACCACCTAATGATATACGGAGCTTTCTTAATTAAAAGCTGTATTGATCGTCTCACAAAACACGCGTCTAAGAATTTCCTAAGAGAGTAAATAGAGTTGTTTTTGAAGGGAATGTGAGGCGTGAAACAGCAGGTGACCCGCCTTTGACAACGTCGAGCGTCGCAAATGATTAACACGAAGGGACGATGATCTTTACGTCCGAGAATTGAAACGAAGCCATGGTATAATCTGTCTAGAGGAATATCCTACTCTTTCTCCAAGAATATCCAGGTATTTGCCTATCCTTTTCCTTCTGCCTTTCCATTCTACGTCGTACTTTTTTATTCCACCAAAAAATTACTCCCTCCTGTGTCTTGTGAAAACAAGATAAATTATAAATTATACCTTAAACTATAATTGTAAATTCTATCGTGTATGTAATATTAATCTACGATAGGACGCGAGTTGTTTGGTATCTAATTGTACATTAATTGTCGATATTTCGCCAGCTTGAAAGAAATGCGAGGCTGCTCTCTTACAGGCTGTTTCATATAAATAGGACGAATTGTATAATTTTTAAACAGTCAGAGATGATAAATTGCAATTTATCTGACGTTCTAATTGTTTGAAACACTCTGTGGTTTTGCTGTAGTCTGTCTAACAACATGATCAATTGATTGCTCGATGTCATTTTTATCATATCTTTTAACTGAACGTTAATTAATTAATTTTAAAACACACGTACAAAAATATAAATACGGTGGCGTGTCAGTCAGATAAATCTGTTTAAAAATTATTTATTTAAATAATTATTTCGATAGAGTTCAAAATTAAGCATTAGAAATTAAAAATAGCTTTTGTCCTCTTTCTCAAAAAAAAATTTTTTTTTTATAATAAGTGACAAATAAATACAAATTTTTAATGGAGCTAAACGACGTTGGCATTTAGAAATTATACAGGCAGGCTACGGCTCGTTTCTATAAAACTAATTAATTTATTCATGCTCTTGTAAATAACTCGATGGTTTAACTGTACATACATCTGTCGACTTCCGGTTCTACGGGAACTTTGTATACATTGATACTCGCGAAACAGTCGGATCTGATCTGATTTTGATATTAAAGAAATTCTGTGTACTGACTAGCTGTATCGCAGATCTCGAACGAACCTCCGTTTTCACGCGTATTTTCTGCATTTATTCAAGAACAATGAACAGGATATTAACAGAAGACGAGGACAGAAAATGCAACGGTAGCACTTTATGTTCCTCGAGATAAAAAAATGAAAGGGAAAAAAGGAAAAGTAACAAAGAGAGTATATAGTTTTCTATGAACGAAGAAGAGATGGAAGTGTCGTAACTTTGATTCTTTGAACCTTTGCTAAAAGTGAAATATTTTCCAGCTGTTTGCAAACGTTTTGTTACATAGAGACATATATGTATATACTTGCATATATTTGTTACAAAAATGAAAGACATGACTCGTTTCGTCCTGCAAGAAACATGTTTGAAACAAGAATGTATACGTGCGTATGCGTATTTAATTATGAAAAACGAATGTCTTCGATTCGACGTGTGATAACCGGGAAGAAGGTGATTCTACGTGAAAATATGATCCTTCGTGTCCGAAAATCTGTCAGGTGCATATAAATCAGGGTATTTCTAAATTAGACTTCGCGAAATTACGTATGACTATACATATATGCGCAAGTAATCGATAGAAGATTCTACTTGCGAGAATAAATGAAAAATGTAGTAATAAAATTTTTTGTAAGATACTTCATTCACTGTTGTATTTTGGTATGCGCGTACCAAGACAAGTTTCAACGAAATTTTAAGTATAATAAACTTTATTCTACATTTTTCGTTTATTCTTGCACATAGATTATTCATTCCGCCGTTCCATCAAGTCTAATAAATATAACTGAAACAGAACTCGAGATGAAAAACATTACTGTTTCTTTCTGGTTTATTTTTCCACGTAGAATCGCCCCGTTTTCGATGCTACCACGAAAATTGAGATACTCTGTATACCAGCAGAAATATATTGAAGAAATATTTGTCTCTTCTGTTTACGGAAGAATTTTCTTTTTTTCTTCATTGGACATCTCTGTCTATTGTCGAGATAGAACAAAAGAGCTTGGTACAACAGAAAATGTATTTTTCACTGTATTTAAGGATGCGTTTACGATATTCTACATTCTACAGTCACAAAGATGTCTCGCGCACTGTACAAGAATAAGATATATAAGACGTCAAAGGATGTAGCATACGTGCAATATATTTTTTCTCAGCATCACGAGTATATTATGCGCAGTTGTATCGATTAAGTATATTTTATGTAAAATCTAGCGACGTAAGTTCGTAAGTTAAAATAAAAAGAATGTGATCCAACACGTGTGTGATCTTGTACTTACAGTTATCGTTGAGACGTATCGTATTGTTTCTTTCTTCTGTTTATTATATAGATATAATATAGTGACAATTTTTGGATACGATTAAGTTTCAGTATTTTTTATTTTTCACTTAGGTGCTGATTAGAAGAAGAGTGGATGAAATGATGCGTGAATTAAATTAAAACAGACGGATGATGCCAAGTTTCGAGAATTTTCAATATAAGTACGATTGATTAACGTAAATTCTTCAAAATTCTCAAATGCTTTATCATTCTGGCGCTCCTTTGAATCGAAGATGCAATTTTAAACCACCAATTGTTCAAAAGTCTTCGAGTCTTTGCAAAAGTTCTGAACTTTTCTCCAAGATTGAAAAAAAAAAAAAATAGAATTCATTTATCGATTTTATTCGTGCATGCATATATCAAGCATCCAGGAATCTAGAGGCTTCAATTTTCGATTCAAGATAAACCAAGGCCGCAAATCTAGAATCACGTGCCATCCACGAATCACACGCTACGTGAATTTCAATCTTGCAAAGGCAAGAGTTTCTCTTTCCTTATACGACGAAGTCGTATCGCTGATACATCAATAATCTCGCGAAGCGACAGTTTTTTCGCAGACCTGGTCCGCAGGGTCAGCCTTTCGTTTCTTCCCTCGCAAGCTGACGCCAGTGCAGAGACTCCCTAAAGCGTAACGCGACGGAAAAGAGAGGACCGTCATCTTGGATCCCCCAAAAGCCACGGTGATATTGTACGTGCAGCCGCTACCACCCCGGTCGACAGCTGGCTCCCTCGTCTCGTATCCTACAGCCAAGGATATCACGCAGCACGTTTCGATCCCGCTTCGCACGAAAAGTCACGGATTAATCGTTTTGCACCCTCGTCTCGCGCCGACCTTGTAACAAGCCGAACATTCGGGGCGAGCCTGATCTCGTTAGGGTGACGTTTAAATCACATTATGCAGACTGATCGGTTTACCAATCGGTGGAACGAAGATATCATCGGATCAAGATGCTGTTTGTCTAGTACGTTTAGATTTGTCGTTAATTTTTGGAATGTTTTGGCAGGAACGGACGATTCTTCATGTTGATTGGTTTATACTGTCGACGAGGAATAGATACGGTTACATTAAGATATTTATCTCGTGTTTGGATATTGGTATTGTTGATCTGTTGGTTTATGAATGGAGTTGGATAGATTCAGTGATGTGACACAAGAAATTACATATGATTACTTGTATTACTTTTATTCACTTGTCATTGTGTTAATATCCTTTTATAACTATTCTCATTTAAAAAAGATGTATCATAGATTCATATCTCTTGTTCAATTCAATTCATCCAACTCATTCTTTCAGCATATAATAGATTATTTCTACGTGCACATATTGCATTTACTTGCTGAAAAATAATGTTTATTTTTTTTTTTTTTCAGATGTTCTGTATTTGATGTCGTGAACACAGAATTGCCAAACTGATCAATGATTATATTTAGAAATTATACAGATTTATCATCATGTATTTTGAGATTTTTTTTAAATATAATATATAGATAAGAGAGATCGGAAAAGATATCAACACGTGGCTCCATTTTTCAATAAATCGTTTTTTTATCAAGTTTTATATCCTATTTTCATAGTATCTCGAGTTACACAAAGGTACCATTATTACTGTTATTCAACTGCGGATGTTTATGCATTTTTACATTTTTGTAGATACAATTAAAGGAGGAGCAAAATTTTATATTTTTACAAATACAATTCAGGAACTAAATATTTTATAACAGGATATTATACATATAGTATTTTGTAAATTTTTGCACTCTTTCTAAAGATACATAAAAATCCGCATTTTATTTAGCTATGATATAAATACAATGATACGCAAACACTTCTCCTACTTATTTCCTCATACAAATTGTTTATTAATTTCAGCATTACTATTAAAAACTCATTATCAAAAAGATCATGAAAGTCTTCCACCTTACAGAGGCATCTAGATCAAGGCACGACATCAATCAAACACAACACAAGTCTACAAACAAATTCACTCAACAGATCTTGATTCTACCCCTCTCAATGATTATCAATGATTGACAATTTGCGATTATCTCGAAAAACTTTGAAAAGAAATCGTTCGTCCGATAATGCTGGATTATTCAACAACAGACTTGCTGACAGAAAACAGTTGGAATGGAAGAGACTCGAGTTTGAGAACCGTCGTGGAGTGCTTTGAACGCGCATGTCAAATTTAAGGGGGTGGAATAGGAAGAGCAGCGAGGGCGGAGTCGCGAAAACGAGTCTCATGGCTACGCGGTCCCTCTTTCGTCGAACGATAACCTTTAACCTTATCCCGGTCGGTTGTTAAGTTCGGCTGAACTTTCTGATGCGACTCAAAGTTCATTCGACTTGAAGGTTTCGCGTACGCGTGCCCAAGGATTAACCCATTAAGGATCAATGTTGCGTTAACGCGACCTTTCATTTGCAATCATTTCTCCCGGTCAATTTACATTATTATACTTTGTTGCTTTTCTTTTAAATCGGGCTGTAAGGAGAATTTTTAGGACTTGGTTAATATATTTGATTTTGGATGTGTATCAAGTATAACGTATAATATTAACGAGGATTTGATTAATATTTTTTACTTTGGATGCTTGTTTAGTGTAACTTAAAGAGAAAAATAGAGAAGTCTGTCTAAACATTTTAAACATCAGGGTTCTAAGAGGAAATTCTGAGGAGAGAATTTTGGTAAATGGAAAAAGACAGAGTATATGAAACTTTATAAAATTTTTCGACTATTAGAATATTATGATCTAATAAATAAAATAATAGCTGATATTACATTTGAAAGATATTAAAAGTATTAAAATCAAGAAATATTATCGTCTCCTCAAAAATACTTATTAATTTGCCAAAATTAACATCTTGCAAAGTATCTTTCTTTTACTGCTTTAACAACGATCACTTCTCAGCATTAACAAACTATTTTTCAACACTCGTCTTTATTATACTTTCGTAAAATTGATTCCTGTTCGTGCCAACCAAATCTTAAAAATTGATTTTCATCTTTCGATCGAATATTAAAAAAAAAAAAAACAAGTAACTCCGCGATAACAAATGATGAAGAAAGTCGATAAAACGATCGTCTATTGACAGTATCTACGAGTCAATAAATCAACTGCTTTGGGATATTCCAAAGACAAGAGTGAAAAGTATCGTTGTGGACACAGCTGACGGAGCTTCACCGATTACCCTCGCTAGATTTGACATGCTATTAGCCACGAAGTTCTCATGTTTGCTTAACTATCGATTAACCGGCGCCGTTCCTCTGAAGCCAGTAAACTAATCACAGGTGTTTCGGTTTGTTCTTTCCTTCGTACAGGTCCACCTTTCTGTAATCCCGACTGATCTCTGATTAATCGGTCTTTTTAATTCAAATCAACTGTATTTTTCTCATATATTGCCGTAGGATCTCCTTTAATGACACCTTAGTTTGTCCCTGTTTTTATTTTTCCTTTCGCAAAGAGTCCCGCTGTTTAAAAGTTCAATCAAAGTATTCTCTTCCTGTAAAATTAAAGTATTGTGTCTAAAGTATTATATTTCAAGTATCGTAATACGATTTTCCATTTTACATGTCAAATTAAAATTAATTCCAGATTTTTCCAACTCTCGTTCTACTTTCAGTAGAATTCCTTCATTTCGAATTTAAATTTCACGCATTGGCGCGAATTCATCGATAGATCGATCCAATCAATCTCGCATTTCTTAACACTCGTGTTTTACCTTCGTAATAATTTTATCTTCAATTCTTTTTTTATCTTCAGATTTTAAGAAATTGATTCCACGATTTCCAATTTCTCCAATCTTTTTCATTCTACCCTTGTAATAATTTCGTTTTAAATTTCTTCAAAACTTTAAGAATTGGCGCGGACTCGTATCGATAGATCGACACATCCGATCAACCTCAAATTTCTCAACTCTCGTTTTACCTAATAATTCTATTTTCAATTCTCTTTTTTCTTTTTTTTTCTCAAATTTTACACGTTAAGAAAGATTAATTTTACGATTTCTCCCTCTGCAATAATTCCGTTTTCAATTTTTGTCAGATTTCACGAGCCGGCGCGGATTCATCGAGAGATCGATACATCCGACCTCAATGGCGGCTGAGAAGAGTGGCCGCATTAGATCACGAGCGAGCGGATATTGCTCAACGATTTGAGAAACGCAAATAGAAGTAACAGAGGGATTAAAACAGTTTGTGGTCAAACACAGAGGCTTGTCTGTGAATAGTGGAAACGATGGATCGTTGGTTGCTGTCTAGAGGATCCACGGGAGCCGGCACTCGTCTTTCTATGGGATCGACCAGGCGTCATAATAGTCCCCATAATAGTGTGTGTGTATTCAAAGAACGATCTCGCCACCTTGTATTACGCGGCACTAGACCGTGATCCAGTGACGATTCGCCAATTGAGAATTCGTTTTCAACGTTTTTCTCATTCTCACCAGTCGGTGGATCGACTTTTTTTTCATAATCGATCATATCATTGGAATTTAGCAGGGTTAAAAGATTGAGGTTAGAACAACAAAATTTGTCATAAAATCTGTAATTCGGTGCTGGATATGGATACTTTTGACATTATAAATATCGTCATTGTGAATTTCGTGAAATTTCAATTATTCTCACTTAGAAGATTGAGCCAATATATTTTCGTGAATATAATTTAAAAAATAAAATCTAATTATAACATGTAAGTAATTTATATTTATATAAAATTTGTCATAAAATCCTTAATTCGGTACTGAATATGCATACTTTTGACATTATAAATATCGTCATTGTGAATTTCGTGAAATTTCAATTATTCTCACTTAGAAGATTGAGCCAGTATATTTTCGTGAATATAATTTAAAAAATAAAATCTAATTATAACATGTAAGTAATTTATATAAAATTATAATTATATTTATATAAAATTTGTTATAAAATACGGTGCTGGATATGCATACCTTTGACATTATAAATATTGTCATTGTGAATTTCGTAAAATTTCAATATTCTCACTTAGAAGCCAATATAGTAATTATAATATGTAAGTAATTTATATTACCTGTTATGGTAATTTATGTATGCACTATTACTAATGCGCTATTACTATGCTCTATTGCGCTGTGTAAAACTTTTATAAATGCATAAGAATCTGCAATTTACCCATCACTATATGCTATAAATTTCTGCTTTTTAATTTCTTCTTTTATTCAAGCACTCAAGCATTTATACTTTGCGTAATAACGCGACGTAAGTTTCATTGCTCGATGTAGATCAATTTTAGTAATATATTTGTTAATAATAAATCAAAGTACTTACATGATACTTATCACTGTAAAAATCCCCATCACAGTTAGTATCGTCACGCTAACATCTAACCGTTTATTTTTCAGATGAATCTCGCAATCCAACGCCACCAATGTTATCAACCACAAAAGAAGAAAAGTAACAAGAAAGGAAGATATTCTCTTTGCCAGATGAATCAGATGCACGCTATTTGATGAATTTTCGTCGCGCTATTCGGCTAAGAATTTCGGCGTTACCTTTACGATTACTCTAGTCTCCCCATGAATAAGGCAGAGAGAGAGAGAGAGAGAGAGAGAAAAGCGTCGGTGGTCTCAATCTGCTCAGAAATTTCGCCCGGGCCCGATGTCTGTAAGTGTCCTTACGATCTTTGCTTTACCCAATATCTTCTTGGCTCGGCGTTCACCGGGTCCTTCCACTGCGACGTTTAGCTTTCCTGGTGGGGGTACTTTTATTAAAACTCCCGTCAATAGTGCGGCGAGGAGGAGCAGGGAGGCTCCTACTACAGGACGAGGCTTGCGCTTTATACAATGCTACAGCACCAGGCTAGAGCCGGAGCATAGACAGAGCTGCCGGGAAACGTAGCGTGCTTTTCCGCCATTTCTATGGGAACTCGGTGGAATACCTGTCTCCCCGGGGGATGTTTTTGTTGGGGACGGAAGAGGTACGAATGGAGGTATTTCAGAGACAGGGGAACGTTTCCAGATGTATGGAGATCGATCGGCGCCACCGGTGGAAAAGAACCGTGCTTTAGAATCTTGTGCTTTCGATGACTTTTGTCTTTTACTTCATTTTCTTTTTTTTTTTTTTGTTTGCGTTGGGAAAAGTTAAAGGATCTAACTCCTTGTACAAGAGAACTAATACTGTTAGGAGAATTACAAAACGTATATAATACTCCATATTGTTTTATCTAAATTTTGCTCCTAAAGAAAGAGCAAAAATATTGAAAGAAATGACGAAACTGTAAAGAAATATATATAACATAAATTAGAAGCAAGGAGCTTATAACATACAATTTACTTTTTTTTTATAACATACGAATTTTAACGTACAATTGGCTGATAAATTGTTTTAGTTCTTTAAGAAATTAGAAAGCAAACGCGTCCAAGTTCCCCTGTAAATTCAAAATAATAGCTTTTGTGCGTATCGCCTGCGAGTCTCCCCGATTTTTAATTAAATCTTACAGAACACTCGAAGGGATAAAAGAAGCTTTTCCCTACGACATAGCATTCTATATAACTAAGATATGTCTCGCAGCTTACTCGTCGCGTTTAGCGCTCCGCAAATAACGCGTTTCTCCCAAAATTAAAAAGGGAATTTCTCCACCATGTCCCGTTCCAAAAACAAGCTTCGAAATTAAATGTTTCTTCCAGTTGCATTAAGAACAGAATAATCTGTCCGCGTGATCTCAAGTTATTTGTACAGCTCGCTCTATGTCTTTGCGATTTTATTACAGTCAGAATTTTTCATGTTTTCCGGGACTTTTATCAAACAACGACTCTTATTTTAATCGAACGACATATTAAAAAACTGCGTCAATTACATCGGCATTCACGCGTGTATCAATGTGTATCATGCGTGCACGACGAAATCGTAATAGAGAACATGAAAACAAGCGAAATTCATATTTCGTAGTCATAAAAATAGTCATAAAAATATTCGACATGATATTAAACATGAAATATTAATTGGGGAAGAATGTTTCGAAAAAGCTGGAATCCCGGATGGGAAATCATCGCGAATGGAAGAAAATCGACCTGTTTCCCGGCGGAATTAATCGCCAGATGGGATCGTTTGAAATATCTCTCCTTTCGATTTGATTCATTTCTTGAAAGGATTGCAAATAGATCTGTCCTCCCGTAGGAATTTTTTATTATCTTGATCTCGATATTACTGCGAGCTCGGCTCGGAATATTCATGGTTCGATCGTGGCAGAGCCCTCCGGGGAAAAAAATCTTGAACTGGCGTAGATCTGTTTCTGAAAGAAACGGGGAAAGAAACTGGGAAGGGTGCATTGATTGATTTTTGCAAAGTCTCTATTTCTGAACTCTGTTATGTGAGTTCGATTTACCTGTGAGTTATTAGCTAACTGAATAATAAGTAATGTAAGAAAGTTTCAATTTTTTTAATGATAAAACGAGCAAAATTGAATTTTGTAGACATTCGAGACAAATTTGATTTACGTATGAATTCTCAATTAATTGGACGAGTGATCTCAATTAAATATACGAGTGACAAGTACAAAAAAGTTCAAGGAATAAAATAGTTCAATCTTGTAAGATAAAAATTACGAAATGAGAAAAATTAAGAAGATAAATTGATTGGATTTTGTAGGCATTCTAAAGTAAGTTTTTATGTACTTTTTAACCCTTTCGTATTTAATATGTTCCTATTATTTGCAGAATAAACGAATGATAGTATTTTCTGAGAGATTCTGAAAGACTTTAAGAAAATTTGCAGATATTTCGTGAGTTACTGAAATAAGAAATTTCAGAAAAGATATTATACTTCGCGTATTTTGGAAAAAAGTATGAAGTCTCGTGTGTTTCATTATATTTTCGAATATTCGTATAAAGAACGCGTAATTTTTCTCCTGGCAGAAATATTGGAAATTTTATATTCCTTTAGTGTTTTCACGGAAAACGACTGGGAAAAGCAACACGTGAAATTCTCATAAAGAATTCCAATCTCCTTCAATATTTCGATATTCCTTCGAAATCCTTTCTATTTATATATAAAAAAAAAAAGATATTTAAATTTCTTCCTTTGTTATCAGCCAAGATTTCCGTCATCCAGCCCTAATGTTCGAAGTTCACCAAACTTCAAGCAAGAAAAGAACAGTCGTAGAACAAGTTTCAAGGAGTCGTTGAGTAAAGTGAACATTTCCATCTTCAAGATCAAGACGACGGATCCAGTGACGAAACAAATCTTTCAGCGAGAGATGTTTTCAAAAACGTTTGAATCAGCTTTCGAGAACGAAACGAAGGAGAGACTTTCTCTTTCAAAACGAGACCAAGCGGGATACGATTCTTTTAACCAAGCCGTGACGGTTCAAATTATCGAGAATTTTTCATCGTGTTAGTGGTACAGCTATATTCCCATTGCTTGCCGTTTAATTTCATTGTCCCGTAGCTTAAGGGAGGCAACACACTTCCTTGGAAATCGTAAGAATGCACGCACACGGTCGGTCAAAGGGGGTTGGCGAGGATGGAGGGCGGTTGGAAACGTATACGTGACCAACCACCGTGGACCTCACGCATGCCCCGTTTAATACCACAGCTTGACGGCTTGGTCGGCATGTGCGGGCGACGAGGGGGTAGCTAGGTATATTGGCGCCTGCCGTTAAGCTCATGTTGATCCCTTGTACCAAGCTAGGGTTCCTCCATGCGCAGGGACTCGCGATGTTTGGCCACCGGCGCCATCTTTGATACATCGATCTTCCGCGTCTCTGGATTTAGACGGAAGCCTCAACACAAATCTCGCACTGATGGCATAAAAACTGACTTCGTCTAAGGAACTACTCTTATTATAGAACACAAATTTTTAACCTTTTGCGCTGGAATGACGCACGTCGAGAATTTTTTCTGTTCCAAAATTGTAATATTTTCTTTTTTCAGTTTTAAGTATATTTAACTTAATTTATTATATAATAAATATACTTAAATATAATATTTATATACTAAAATATATATACTAAAAGGTAAATAGTAAATATAGTAAATATATATATATATATATATATATATATATATATATATATATACTAGAAAATAAGTACTCTTAAATATAAATATTATGTAATATTTGAGTATATTTAAGTATGTTTATTATAATTTTAAGTATATTTATTATAACCCAGGCAACACAAATAATAAATTTATTACTTCTCAATAATTTCTATCCAGTGATATCGTACCGACGAATTATTGTATACGGTTTAGCCACTCGTTATGGTCCGCAATCAGTTGCCAGTGCAAGTGGTTAAATCGAAACGCTAATCAGACCGTGGACTTTTATACACCTAGAAATTTTTTTTAAAATCTGAGAGAACTACACTTGTCATTAAAATGAAAATAGTCAAAAGAGTCACAAATGCTCAAAGTTTTCAACTGCATTAGACCCTCAGATTTCTGTACAGTTATCTTGGTGATAATTCTCTTTTGCCTTCAAGAATTCAGAATTTTGCCTTGATTGGCCATTGAAATGTGACAAACTGGTGGCGAATTGATTTTATTAATCCCGAGATCAGTGAGCATATGTCAGTGTTTTCAGAATGATAACGAATAATCGTCACAGTTCTTTTTCATCTCGTGAGAACAGAAAGCTGCCCATACAGCGTTATCGTTCGTGGTACATCACAGAGATATCGATTGGACTGTTAATTAAATCGAACTGTGGTGAACATACTAAATATTCTGACAGTAAAAATAATTGTTTGATCTATTGAATTGAAAAATTTAAGACTTTAAGTAGTATACAAACGTAGTACAACTTGATGATTAATTACCATCATGATATGGTACCATAACGATCGAGAAACTATTGCTCTGTATACTTCTTTATAATAATGAAAACTTTTTACGAATTTGAATTAATTAGTTTATCATTTCTTATGCAAAAAATGTTTGTAAAGAGTATCGTTAGTATATATATAGTAATATATACATACATAGATTATATATATAGTAATATATACAGTAGATTATATATATAGTAATATATACAGTAATTTATCTTCATTACTATTTAGGATTTCTGTGACTAGTAGTCATCAGTGATTGGTTAAATGTTGATTACAGAAAGATATTAGAAACAAATGTACATTAATAATTAGACCTTCGTGCAAATTCATGTTTCCAAAAATATAATTAAAATATAAGAAATAGAATTTGTTTTTAGAACAAATTCTTTATATCACGCAGTAGGTATAGTCGACATAGTCGACATAAATGAGCGACGCGGCGAGCCGACACCGTGTCACTTTTAACCCACAGTTGAATTTTCGCCATACTTGTTTTGCACCTAACTTTTTGGTACAGGATGTTTATATTATTTTTATATAAATAATTATATATTTAATAAATAATTATATATAATAAATAATTATATATAATAAATAATTATATATTTTTATATAATAAATAATTTTTATTTTTATATAATGCTTCAGCCAAAATTTCCAGAGATATCTGTCTTTTGAAATATTTTGCTTCTTCGCTGCGCTCAAGTTCTGGGTCAACGGTGACCCAACGTCGGCTACACGAGGGTTAAAGGAAACATTAAAAATTTCCCGCGAATGCATGGAAATTCGCAGTCTGTTGATAGGAGAAATAAAAATAAAGAAAAAAACGCGCACAGTGAAAGTTCCTCGGAAAACGAGAAGTTCGTCAAGCGTGCGAATGATCCCGGTAATAAAGTCGTCGGTGATTTTCCCTAGGGCGGATCGGAAGGTGCAAAGGTGGCGACCTTCGGCCAGAAGGTCTCTCCTCGGCCGCTAAAAGCCTCGACACGCGTCGCGATCGTTACGTCTTGCCGCACATAAATAATTAATGACCGTTCGCCACCCTTCCTAAACACCGCCACGGTGGGAATAAAATTTCGACCTGGAAGGGAATTTCGCTTGGGCCTTTCCCTCGTAAAAAATTGCTCCCGTCTCTTTCTGTCGCTTCCAGTTTGCGGCGTAGCTTCTTTTTTTTTTTTTTTTTTTTTTTACGTAGAACTTCCACGAAACGAGCGACCATCGCGCGAATCGTTCGCAATTTGTTCTTCCACGTTCGTCTCTCAAGCCTGTTGATCCATCGAGTCCTGGGGTGTGGACAATTTATGTCAATCGGGAAATACCGAAGAGGGACTTTCTTTCAGATCCTCGCAGCAGGCTGGTGGGAATTTTGGAAATTAGGATTTTCTTCTGTCTCTTTCGATTGAATCTTCTCAGATAGTTTGTAAGATTCGCTTGTAAGAACATCAATCGTTGGGAATCATTATAATTTTTGTCATATTCGATGGTTAATAATTGTATTCGTAATTTTAATTTCGATCTGAATCTGTTAGTTCTACTCGATAATTCGTAATTATTATACACAACTATTTAATTTAATCATTATAATTTTTGTCATATTCGATGGTTAATAATTGTATTCGTAATTTTAATTTCGATCTGAATCTGTTAGTTCTACTCGATAATTCGTAATTATTATACACAACTATTTAATTTAATCATTATAATTTTTGTCATATTCGATGGTTAATAATTGTATTCGTAATTTTAATTTCGATCTGAATCTGTTAGTTCTACTCGATAATTCGTAATTATTGTACACAACTATTTAATACTCTTAACAAGCTGTAGTTTCTAGTTTCTAGTTTCTTACTTTCTAGTTTCTTCAACTGGTTTGTAAGTTTATCGTTATTGATTCCAAGATTTTAATACGATTATAATTTCAATATTGATATTGGCCTGTTACCTCACATTAGATGTAATTAGATCATAGATTGAAGATGAAAAAAATGCACAAAATTCGCAAAAATATGCAAAACATGAAAATTACAAGATTCTCCTATTATTTAATATCTATTCTTCTTCCAGTATTTATATTCTTCTCTTTCACCATGTTTTCCATTTTCAGATCAAGACAAGATCTAGCATCGAGTCTGCACTTTCATCGTCATCTGTGAATAAGAGACGACGCGATTTGCCTAGTTTCTACGACAGTCAATTGAAGAAAAAGAAAAAAGAAAGAAGAAAATTCAAAACTCGCACGAGGGGATGAAACTGTTTCCAACCAATCGGTTTACTACGGACGACAGGCTTAATTGAATGAAACGCACGTTTCTACTTGTAGGAAACCGTAGCGTTTAAGCGTGCACGCGGCCGAGGAGGAGTCTCCTATTCGACCATCGTGCCCCCGACGTAGCTACCAGCAAAACCACCCTTCTGGCCGAAGGTGTAGGTCGCGCGAGCCGCAGTCACGTGTGCGTCACGTGCCAGGGATTACTAATTATGCGCCGAGAACGGTCATAATATCCTGAGCCCGGTAGGCACAGTGCATAGATACAGTTAATATCTGGCACGGCAAACACCGCCGCCATTCACCGTACCCGATTTATGAATAAAGTTCCTTGCTCGAACGCCGCCCTCGATATTTGATTTTCACACATGAGCATCATCGCTCCATCCGACGACGTCTTCCCGTCTTTCGTCTCTTTCTTTTTCTCTCCTCGTTCTTTCCTTTCGTTTGAAAGGGGACGGCGGAGAGAAAGAAAGACTCGATAAGCGTGGTAGATAGGCAGAGGAAAGTAACAATAGAATTTAGAGGATTAAAGTATTTGATCCTTGTAAGGAAAGAAATAGGACACACACAGGATTGAGTTCAGAGAATTTTATCATCTTTGTATTAATATATTGTTCGCGCGCGATTTAGACGGAGCGAAGTCTATGGTTGTTAATTGCAATGGACTGTACAATTCTCTCGCGCATTTGAGTTGTTAAGGGTTCCTCCCTAAGGATGTTAATATCGAACTATTGTGTCGGACTAATTTTAACTTGCAAGCCGATGGTAGGTAAAGAAAGTTGTTTGTTTCCTCTTCCATCGGCTTTCGGGAAATTCCTTGGCTCCAAGGCGAGACAATTGCACAGATGTTAGCCGTCTCTTCTTTAAACATTTTGCCTATACTGCGGGAAAGTGAATGAATGCCTTGATTTATGACATAATCGAGGCTTACCTTAGATTTTCTTTGAACAAAAATCGACAGACGGTCAAGGGTTTACTGGCGGCTTAAACCTCAGGTCACTTGAAGAGTCACTTGTAAAGTAGGCTCAGGTCGTAAAATAAATTTTCCATAGCGAACATGCGATCATGTATATAGCGTTCTGACAATCTGATTCTACGTTCTTCATATTAATGTTGTTCCAACCGAGAATGTAATCCAACTGTTTTTCTTTTCTTTTTTTTAGTTCAACGCATTGCGCTGGCAACTGATTGCGGACCATAACGAATGACCGAACCGTATAAAGCAATTCGTCGCTTTCTCTTTCATTTGAACTCGTCTTACATTCAAATATACTCAAAACTGAGAAAATGTTGCAATTTGGGAATCAAAAACTTCTCGACGTGTGTCATTGATGTTCATCAAAGAACATTTTATTTAACACACGTGTGCATAACAAAAATACTTCATCTGCGTTCGAGTACATTTACGTTGAAGAATCTCGTCAACGTGGCTACGTTTCCACGTGTCGATCGTTCCAGAAACTGAGAGAATCGTCGTGCGTTTGCCAGAAGAACGGTTTCCCAGGTTTCGGACTCGTTCGACCCTTGTTTTCGAAGCGCGTCGGCCAGCGAGCAATTTCGGAAACCCGGTCACTTTGCAAATAGTTGCTCTCGTTCGCGAGCCGGCTATGAAGATTTCATAGCGATCGTTCTTCCTATTCAACGATCGCTATCGTGGGGTGGGCCTCGGATCGTATCGTATTGACAGAGGTCACGTGGCGGGGGCTCATCACGTGCGCTCTTACGCCCCTGGGAAACTCCGATCTCCACCAAAGAGATCGCCACGATCAAAAGTCAGATTCCTTGCTTCCATTTCCTTTGATCTCTTTTGGATTGATGTTGCTCGTCGATATAAAAACTCCAAACTAAAAATGGAGTTGCACATCTTGTATGTATGTATGTATGTATGTACCTGTAGAGTGATTTATTTGATGTATAGTCTTATTTATATATTAGTTTTATTTAGTTATATTTATTTGACGTATATAGTTTCGTATTGAACGACATTAATGTGAAGAACACTGTAGGATTTTTTTAATTTTCTGATAAATTTTATGCCGTAATTTCTGATTTTATGAAAACAGGTCGTATAAAATATTATCAGATTTTATAAAATATTAATATCTTCCGATTTTCTGATAAATATCAGAATTGTTAAATACAATGAATTCCAAGGAGAAATTAAATTTGATCTTTTTTAGGTTCTTATTATTGGACCGATGTAACTTGAAGCTAAAAATGGTATTACATGTCGTGGTGATTTATTTGGAAGATACAGGTTCCGTTCAAATTGAAGATTTTAGATCGTCTCGTCGACTTTATTATATCCAAGTATGTATAATTGATCATTTAATCCATAACAATCATCAAAATTGCTCAACAAATTTATATTTATTTATTAATTACTGAAATTGTCGTAAGATTCCACATCGAATGAATTCAATAATTCCAATTACAATTTAAATCAATTTTGATTTTAACTTTTATTAATTCATTCCAAGTATGTGCGTAATGTTCGCCGATGAAACGAGGTGTCGATACCGACGAATAACGATCGTAAACTGACAATGAGTCGCGGGACAGAGGAAACTCCGAACGATCGGCATTTTCAAAGGCTCGAAAACGATCAAACACGGAAGGGGGAGGGGCCCCAACGGCGAATAAATATTGTTCTTTGCCAAAATCACATGAGCACACGGCCGATTCATATCCGGGTGACAACGGCCAGGATGCAAACAGACCAGAAGCTATCCGCTCATAACGTGCGCTGTTATTCCAATTGTTTTTCGTGTTCCGTGGACAATGGTACGTTTTCTTCTTGGTCGTTGCCGACGATCCGCCGGAAAGCGAAAACGTTTCGATGGAAAATTGATTTCCGGTGGCCGGTGGTTCGCACGTGTCGCCCCCTCCGCGTCTGGCCACGATGATTTTACAATTTTTACAATGTCAATACGACAGGAACTGTGTGCTTACCTTTGCACGGCGATTTAATCGTTTTTTTTTTCTTTTTCGACGAAAGGAGTAGAGGATTTTTGTTATTTCTGCGGTTCGCGCGGCAGATTGCGCACAATACACATCGGGCGAAGTAATTTTGAAAGTAATTTTTTTGAATTATCGTTTTTTATAATGATACAATGCAAGATAAATTTAGAGAAATCGAATTATCAATTTATACAGGATGTTCCTGGTTTAAATCGTCAAACTTTGGATATGAATTAGGACTCTAAAACGAACAAATTTCTCCTGTGAAAGTATGCTCGTAAATGCTTTCTTCAACAGATATTTAGGAATAGATATTGGATAGAACATTGAAATGTCTGTGTTCCCAAGATTAATGCTTGTCTCCAAACTGAAGGTAATCATATGTAATAATTACAATTATCTTACAACAGTAATAAATCTGCAACTAATGTTGTCCATGTAGAGTTGTATTAAATCAGGCAAAAAAAAAAAAAGAACTTAAATACATTTGTCTCATTTTGTAATAATTTCCACTTATCTGTCTTTTCATTTGCCTTTGTAGTAAATTTCTGAAATTGTCAAGAGACTTTACGGACACCCCGTACAGTGAGATATTTATCATTCCGACAACAAGTGCAAGTTTCAAGTGGGCGAAATTAGATTGATTTATATACAATGTTCAATAATATCCAAACAATCAGGTATATCACTTGGATCAAGTATAACACTCGATCAAAAATCACATATCTCTACAGATATTCATCTACAAGAACAAGTCGTTACGATTATCAAAGAAACATCAGAGCACGCTCAAACGTAAATGATCTTCCAGACACTTTCACTGACTACCTGATCGAGATCTTCTCTAAAAATGAAAACAGGAAGAATGCACGATGCACATTGAAAATTCTCCACGAGAGCAAGTTCGTGTGTGTTTGAGCGTGGCAGTTTGTCAGTGTAAGGTCGCACGAGGGCCACGCGGCGGCACGTGTCGTCTCTGGTCAAGCGAGCGGAAAATCGTCCTTTGATGCTGCACGCTCGTTGTTAATCGCCATTTGACGCTCACCTTCCTTTCTCCCTTATCTCTCTCGCCCCGGAAGTCGCCTCCGTGCTGAGTATCTCGCGCGCGAAATCGAAAATCTCCTCGCGGGCGGGGAGGATGGGTGTGCAAGGACGGGGGAGAGATTCGAGGAGAGGGTTGAAGAGGACGACAGAGGGTGGTTAGGTTTGTTGAGCGGCCATATCGAGACGAAGGTCGAAACATCGACTCGACGACGGTGTCCCTCGACGATTTTCTGTTTACTTTTTTACGCTGGTCGTTGTGGCGCGGATGGCTGGACAGAGGGGAGATGATGACGGGCGAATTAGCTGTTTGAGGATCCTTGTAGGCGTGAAGCATTTAGCGGACGTCATTTTGAAAACGATAGGCGAACGTGTCCCCCGAGGGGGCTGAATTGAAAAAGACGTTCCAGTCGTTTTTATTTGTCTTAATTGTTGTGTTTTTAACTCTTAACTTTGATGTTCCGGGGCAGATTGTGAATTTTAAGTTGCGCACTTTTTTTTTAACACTGGAACTACCGACGATTGAAACATAAAATTTCCACCAGAGACATAGAAATAAAGGAACTTTGTAATAATACAATGTGTATAAGCTCTCATTTATACATTTTGCAAAAAATTATTTAAATCTTTAAAAATACAGTGTTATTATTGAAAATGCAGTCTATAAAATATCTAACAGAAATTATAAATTGGTCATTTTGACCAGTTTGGTAGTTCTAGTGTTAAAAAATGATATGATATAATTGTAATGATTAAATTTATATTACATACAGCATAAGTGATATTAATATATTGATATAAATGTTATTTTAAATTGTATACATTCTTGATTTGGTCGTATGAATTATTACACAACGTGATTCGTTCACAGTCTTTCCAATTCTGGAGCAACTATAATCGATTACAGCCATTGGCCATTGATTGTTCATTAAATTGCGTTCAGACGCTATAATTTTGTCATAAACTTGTGTATTATAAAATTTAATTCAATCAAAAATGAACAATTTAACATTCATCATCTTCAAAAGATATTCCAAGTATGTTATATCGTGCACTCCATCAGTTTTCACAGTATAGAAGTAGATTTGATATATAAAAGATGTGAATTTGTAATAAAATTAATTAAGGCGATTCTTTTTTTTTTTCTTTCAGTGCAACTCGAAGACTAGTTTCATAGGACTATGTTCTTTCACTGAGACTAACAACATTCATTAAATATTTAAAGAATTCAAAAATTGTGAAGCAATGTGTTGCAGAAAGATACAAGAAAGCTAACTATAACTATATAAAGAAATTAAATTTGAAGACGATGATTAGATATGAGGTGCAGGTTTGTTAGAAATGGTTGAAAATAGTGTTGATTTATGGCTGGAATATTGCATCATCGTCAGATCTGAAGAGATATTGCTAGAAAGAAAGAACGGAGAAAAAGATTCCATAACGAGTAAGATTTGAATGGCAAAGAGACGAGAATATATTCATAGGGAATATGAATATTTAAATAGTGACTTTTTTTTTATTATTCAGCAGACAAAGCTGTCCGTTCTACCCTTAAACTCTGCATGCATTTGTCTGGTTAAATGAAATGAATTCTCTTACGGGTGTGTGTCTTAAATTCTTCACGCTCGAGTGAAGTTCTGCACGTGCATACATTTAAATGTTATTAGATTTTAATCCTCAGTCTTTAGAATCGATTCACATTTTAACATTTAAACGCTTTAACATTCAATCAGAAATATTTTAACAAATGTCTCAAGTTTTGTATGCGTATTCGTGTATATCAAATTTTTAGAACTAATACATGGTTTGTAATTTTAATTTTCAATTTTAGACGATTCGTTCTCGAAACGCTTGAAGATGTTCCAAGAAATTTTCTTCTAAAGATCTTCCGAGCTTCGCGCATTGAAAGTTTAACTTTTAAAAAATTTTGACTTTCTAAACTCTGTATATTTTAAATTCTATACGCGTACAGATGGTGGAAGAATTTTTGAGGACGTTCAAGTTTCAGGGAATAAAATTTCAGCAACTGTGATTTAAAATTACAACTCACATTTCAAACACTCGAGTTCCAAGTGCCCAAAATTCGAGCATTCTCAATTTCGAGCACGCAAACTTCAAACACCGAAACTTCAGACACCTGATACCTAAATTCCAAAAACTTCAAGTATGCATTCTTTGACATCAGATACTGAAATTCCAAAATTTCAATTGTACTATCTCAAATGTATCACTTATCTTTACTGATTCGTCAAAATTTCCAAATATTCATAATCTACGTATATATATCGTCTCAAGTCAAAAACCAAAAATTCTTCTTTTACGAATTTATTTCTCTCAAATAATTTAAAAACAAAATTCAAACAGAATTGACTTTTAAGCAAATAAAAGAAATCTTTGATCTCTCACTTTTTTTTCTCAAATTTGTTACAATTTACATTATAATTATTATTGTTATAATATTCAATATAATTTACAATTTAACTTTATCAAATTTTCTACCAGATTGATTTCGGTTTTTCTTAAATTTATCAAAGACCAAAACATTCCTAAATCAGAAAATAAAAAAAAAAGATCTTCGATCCACTCTTTGCGCTCAAATTTATCTCCGATCTCACAGCCTTCTTCTTCAAATTTTCTCAAATCGATTTCGCCCGAATCCCCTTCAACAAAATTTAATTCTTCCAAATCAAAGGATCTTCGATCTAAAACCTTTTCCCTCAGATCAATTAAAAATTAAACTCTAATTCTCCCGGATTCCTCCGAATTTACCCCGACGAAAGAAATCTTTGATTCACTCTCTTTTTCCTCGAATTTGCCTCTGCTCGCGCAGAGCCTTCTTCTCTCCAGTTTTCTTCTCATCTGTCAGTGGAAAAAGCATTCTAAGTACGCGTCGAGTTTCTGCATGAGCGACGACACCCGTCCTCGCGTTCCTCGAAAGAATCGTCCAAAGGGAATGAAAGTATCCAGTAAAACTCTCGGATATCGCTTTTTCCAGCTTTCTCTCGCGCGTGTTCCTTTCTTTCTTCCTTTTTTTCTTTTTCTTTTTCTTTTTTTTTTTTTTATCAAACGAATCGCAAGGCGACGATCCGTGAATAATAGCGAGCGTCAGCGTGCAGAAACATTTGACGTAAAAATTACAGGGTGAACGAAACTTTTCTCTCGCTCAAAGGGTCGAAGATTAATTGGTTCGCGAGCCAGGAAATTATGAAACCCGGCAGAAGTTCCGAACGGGATCAAAGAGAGATTTTCGTCGTGTTTTTCCCTTTTTTTTTTCTGTTGTCTCGTTTTTTCGCTTCGTTACGTACCTTTTGTGCCATGCGTGGATACGAAAGCTTCCGAAACGTTGGAGAAGCTTTGTGATTCCCTGTTTCAGATTGGCTTTTTGTTGTCCAATTTTTTTACGTTGTGGTTTTATTACAGGAATGTTGGGATGGAGTTCGAGATTTTTGCGCGAGAACGATTGAGAATACAGTGCTACGTTGAAACGAAATGAATTGTTATTTATCACGAGAAGAAGAAGAAACACGGAAAATACTTTTCACACGTCTGATTCCTAGCGCTTCGATCTTTTAGCGTTTCTTTTAGTCATATATAAATGAAACTGTTTCTTTCATAGTTTTATATATATATATACATACATACTATATATAACTTTCTTTCTTGGTTATATATAAATGAAACTGTTTCTTTCTTTGTTATATATATATATATATATATAATTGTTTTCTTGGTTTTATATATATATATACATATATAACTGTTTTTTTTTTTTTGGTTTTATATAAATGAAACTGTTTCTTTCTTGGAGAAGAGAGAGAGAGAGAGAGAGAGAGAGAGAGAGAGAGAGAGAGAGAGTTGTAATTCCAAATCTGTGATAAAATAGGAAACAAAAGAAAGTAGAAAGTGGATCGACGCTCCTCCTGGCTCCTGGATTCCAGTGAAACAGAGGGCAGAGAGGAGAGGGTAGAACAGTGAAGGAAAAGAAAATAGAAAAAAGGAAGTCGCGAGACGTGTCTTGGATTCTACGTTCTCTCACCGGGAACAGGAGAGAAAGAAAGGAAGAAAGAAAGAAAGAAAGAAAGGGAAGATGAATGTTTGTTGGCTGCGAGAGGTGGTTGTATCAAGCAGAGCCAGGCAGGTTTGGGGTGCTCCGGTTTTCGCGTACGGGCGCCACGGTGCATTCCTCGCAAAGTAGTCATCACGCATTCCTGGGACGCAATCGTGAGCCTCCACCCTCGTTAACGAAAGATGGATTCGTGCGCGCCAGCCTGAAGAGGACGCGTTATTACATTTTATCCGGGGCCGGCCAGCGTGGAATGCCAGCCTAAGACCGTCACAGAGGGTGGAACAAGCCTGAGGACACGTGCCTCCGTTGCAATAGGTCGTCTTTGACTGTCAGACGTCACTCTTCAAACTCGAATACCTTTGTATTCCCTTTATACTCCTTTCCCTCGTTTTCCACTCCCTTTCTTCCACTTTTTTTCACTTTGACTCCGATTCTTATTCCAAGTTGAAACTTTGTTTCAGATCTCAGCGTTTCAAGCTCGAACAACCGCGAGCTGTCTAAGTAGAAACAACGGAGAGTTATTCTCATTTTTCTTTTAGACGCGAGTTTTCTATGTTGCGTGAATTGTGATTGTTTACGATAAGCAGATTTGTGATATTTAATTTTACTAGAATTACTAGATATTTTTGTGTGTAATAACAATCATCTTTACGTATTTAAATGTTCCTTAAATGTTTCAGACATTTGGAAGTTAAGGCAATATCCAATCTCTCAAAGTATAATTTCGTTCACAATTGACAGTTAAGTGACGTATTTAAACTATATAATTGAAAACGAAGTGTCACAATCTTTATTACAGTGGAACTTATTACCTAAAATCATTCGCAACAAGTGTCCCACACTTGTTGTAGTATCTTCCGTCCAAACAATATTCCTGATAATATGTGTAATTAATTAGAAAAAAGGCGGTATAAATTTCAACCACCCCTTATCGATCCTGTCCCTGATCAACTTGTGTCTGCGATACGCGTCGCCTAATTTATAATCAATGACGGTCATTTGAAATTCGTAGCACCCTTCCGTGAATCTCCATGCCGCAACTGGGCCCAAGAATCTTCGACGCGTATTACGAGGCAGGGGCACCCTTTTTATACGTGACGAAAGGGTGCTGGGACAGCCACGTGCAGAAAACTTGTGAAAAAGATCGTCGAGGGTGGTCTTTCCTCTCTTGTCCTTTCTCGCTATTATAGACTACCGATTTTTATGCAAATTCGTATTTTCGTGGATATTTTTAAATGTTTATATTGGATATTTATTTTATTATAAATTATAAATTATATGTTTTAATTTATATATTAAAAATTATTATATTTATTATAAATTAATGAAAACTTGGAAAATTAATATCAATTTTTATTAAATTGATATTAATTTTCCAATATCTTAATTTTTATTAAATTAATATATTTAATTATAATAATAATTATAATAATAATATAAATTGATAGACAGAACGATAATATAATTAATTAATTAGTATAATAATAACACAGTTAATTAAATTAATATGACAATATATGTGTT